CACACACACACACACAGGGGAGTCTGGCTATGGGTAAGGGTGCACTGAAGCAGCATTACTCATCTCTGCAAATGTTCCTTATCTATAATTCATGGTGCCGGGTCCTGGAAAGTGACTGTGCTGAGCAGAGGTTGAGCTGCAAACTCAGTGCAATACAGTATGCGGTAGGTGGGGGGACACTGACAGGATGATTTAAAAAAATACAAAAGCCAACTGCATGAAGTCAAGGAAGCAAGTGAATCAATTCCTGAATGAGAATCCAAATAATCAGTGCGGCCTATTACATTTTAACTAATGATCTGTATTTTAATTTTTAATTTTATAATTTTGTTTTGATGTCTTTAATTCAAAAGTTAATCATAGGATATAAATTTTAGATTTACAATCCTAACATTTGACACCTAATAATCCATGTTCACAGCATGTAAATCTGACTTTTTATATTGACATAGTATTTCTGTCACACAAAGGCATAGACAAACACACAACAGTAAAAATATATGTATAACATAAATAGAAAAAATAACAAGAGATAGATTAATATGATAAGATAGAAATTGTTGCAGTACAAAATAGGAAAGAGTGCACTTATATATATAATATAAAATATCAATAAGATGCAAATCCAAAATATATACACAAAGCCAAAAATATAAATAGGTTAACAGTAAGGATTATAAAAATATAATCTTCTTTGGGTTTTTTATTGACATTTATAAATTATACTAAAAATAAACACCCAATCATGTAAAAATGTTCATGTTGAAATGTTTGCTTTTGTTTTTATTAAATTATTCTATCTGTATTTGTATATTTATATTTTAAAAATTAAAAGGGGTTTCACCTGATGACAGTAGTGTATGTTCAGCTTCAAAAACTCTTCAAAAAGCTTAATAAGAAAGAAGCACAAACTCTAAAACAGTGTTGTTAGACAAATCGACCCCTATCACAGCCACAGAGACACCACTAGATATTAGAAATGATCAGTTAATGATAAACTATTGAGCCAACCTCAGAGGACATTAAGAACAACACCCCCACTGGGAACAATGCAGAGGACAAAGAGCAAGCTTTGGGTGGGTGTGCATAAGATATGCAGAGGACCTGAGGGTTATTAATATCAAGCTGAGCCCAACAGTAGTTATTCCAGCCATGAACGCACTCAACACCACTGATAGACAACTCAAGCTCAAGACATCAGAGAGAGGAGAAAGTCAGTCTGTTAAAAGGCTTTTTCAGTTTGAGAGCACTACTCCCAGTTTTACAAATATATAAGTCAAAAGATCCAGAACATTAGACGAGTGAAGCTGCTTTTTCAGTTCCAGAAAGAAAAGTTGTTGGAATAAAGCAAACACCAAATTATCTGAGTGGAGCTGCATGGCAGTACTCTTGGCTCTGCATTGGGTTGAGGGAAAATAAACCAGGAAACACTTTAATAGGCTTCGATTTTGTTTCATTCCTCAAGAGCCCTTCAGTTCCAGCTGTTAAGATATTTTATTCAAAGTGTTACAAGTACGTTCCTGATTTATTCAACAAGGTATGTCAATTATGTTTATGTGGGTTCCTGCGCATGTAGGTTTGACAGGAATCGAGGAGGTGGACAGGTTGGCAAAACATGCTCTACAGAGAGCCACTGTAGATTTACTTAAGTCCCATTAAACAAATCAGAAAAGCAGTAGAAGAGGAGGGAAGAGCAGTGGAAGCACCAAGTTTAATTCACACACAATTCAACATTTAGAAACACAGGTAGGTCAAAGGAAGAAGAGGTCTCTTTAAACATAATAACACTTTGTCATTCCAATTAAAATGGCACAGTTAAGGTAAAAACATCCCACTGTTTTTAACCCATGTTAAATGTGTAATAAGTAAGTTTGAACTAGAAACAGTGAATGCAAGAAGATCTGAGAAAGGCAGGAATTGATATTAATGAACTCTCAAAGCGGATAAGGCAGTAGAATAATCTTTGTTTTTATTTTACAGACAGGATTAATGTGTAAAATGATCTCTAATACACCCACCGACACAGAAGGTGGCGGTGCTGCAGTTAAGACCAACATAAGAAGAAGAAGAAGAAGAAGAAGAAGAAGGTCCCGCCCATCACGACGCATGGAAACGACGTTAATTACGTCACGAACGTAAACAAGAGCATGTCGCACAGACAGAATCAAACAAGAGGTAACAGTGGTTGTTTAACGATACAAATACACTTTAAATGAATCATGCATATTTTAAATAAAGCTTGGTGTTTATTTTCAGAGGCCCGTGAGGTAGCTCTGTGTCTTTAGCATGCTTGGTTAGCTGTGTAAGCTAATGTTTCCAGCTAGCTTAGCATACAAAGCCGTATCCAAGAGCGTAGTAAAGTTTCACAGCTAGTTAATTAGTTAAAATAACGTTAACTTCGGTGTATATCTTATCAAACTGGGGGTTTAATTGTTTCATCATTTGCATGTTGTATTTCAGAAATGAACGGTCAGGCGGACGTCGAAGTTGACTACAAGCGAAAATACAAAAACCTCAAACGAAAATTAAAATTTCTTGTTTATGTGAGTATAATAATTCTGAGTGTGAAGCAATCATGTTTTGGTATTTTACAAATACACACACACACACACCACACATAATATATTTACATCATTATTTATGTGCTCGGTTTGTGTGTGTGTATTTGTGTCCTTATCTGCACTGTGTTTGGTTTCTTTCTTCCAGGAACAGGAATGTTTTCAGGAGGAGCTGAGGAGGGCTCAGAGGAAACTTCTCAAAGTGTCCAGGGACAAAAGGTGAGCCTACATATTAACTTACAATATCAAACAATAGTGGATATTAAATAATATTATACCTGAGCAGTAAATAACAACGTCCTTCACTTGTTTTCTAGCTTCCTTCTGGACAGACTGCTGCAGTATGAGAGGGTCGATGAAGACTCCTCAGGTAGTTATTATTACAGCTCATCCTAAATAATCCTTTTATAATAACAATAATAATAATAATAATAATAAAGTGCTTATTACTGCAAAGTGCTTTTCATTTCTATTATTTATTAAGTTATAATCGACTGCACTGTTGGTTGAGGTTTTTTTTTCCTCTGTTCCAGATTCAGATGCAACAGTTTCTTCAGAAAACAGTGAAGGAGAAGGCCCCAGGGAGAGGGAAAGAGAACGAGATGGAGCAAAGAAGTACGTTCTTTTGAGATTAAATTCAGAAATTAAACCTGCTGGTTTGTGGTTACAGTGATTATATCTGTCAACACTTAGAGCAGGTCAGCCTTTTCACCATCCACTGTTTCACCTGTGGGATGCTAGAACTATGTAGAACTTTCATGGGATGCTTATGAATAGTTACATGAATGTGAACAGTGAATGTGACCTGTAGTAAACATAATCCTGGCGCAATGCATGGCAGAGTATACAGCTGAGTCCAACAGTAAGCCATTATTTGTGTTTAAGTCTTAATTAGTGTGTAAAAGGGAGGTACAATAGAAGGCTTCCTATGCTGGATTAGTGGGGACAGAAGGACAAAATATAGAGAAAAGTATCTGTTTTTAAACTGGTGTGGGGCCAATGTAGACAAAACATTTTGTTTTTATACCTCACTCACTGAGTTTCTTCATTCTTTCATGTTTCATGTACTCTTTTAAGGCGAAGAAGTAGTCCTGGGGCGTGTCTTCCTTCATCATCCTCCCCTCATCTCTCCCTGCTGTCCCGTCCTGGTGTAAATCCCCTACAGTCGTCGGGCTCGGGACCCTACCTGAACACTGTGAGTTTCCATCTCCCTTTCTTATATCTCTGTGCGGCTAGCAACAGTAACCTTGCTGCCACTGTCATCTCCTCACCAGTGAACATAATCCCTGATTTGATTTGGCACCATTAATATAATTTGATTGTTTTGTCATTTTATTCACAAGTCTGTTTTATTTCTTCCTTTATTTTTTGTTGGACGTTTTTAATGGCTTCTCTGTTGTTGCCATTGTTCATTCTTCTGTGTATGTTTTTTGTGTTTTTGTGTGTCTGTCTTGTAAATTGCCTGTGTGCATTTGTGTTTGTCTGGTCATTTCACAATTTGGGGCCTGCGTGTGTGTTGGGCAGATGCCCTTCCCACCAGAATATTTGGCTCCCCCAGCTGAACGAATGAAGAAAGAGAGAAAAACAAAGACGCCTAAAAACAAGAAAGAGACTACGGGGAAGGTGAGAGAGGAAAAGGGAAAATAAGATACTTAGAGATAATAATAATAATAATTAATAATAATAATATGTACTGCTAACTTCTCACATGCTGTACATGTTTGTGCCATTTGAATTAGATGGCACAGTAGGCCTTTTTCAGTAGGTTATAATTTGATCACATAAGTACAAAGAAGTAACATTTGTCTCTGTAATGGTTACTTTTACTTTGTTCAATATTCATAACTTGGAAAGTTTGATATATAAGCAGTTACAGATCAGTGTTTTTCTGATCTGTCCTCAATATAACCTGTAACAGTGACATCTCAGGACAATTTTTGTGGAAAAGTCAGTCCCCTAAGCCGTTTTAAGTTTGACACTATGCTGAAAGGACCTTGGTCAGTATGTCTGTAACTTCATATACATGCTGCATGCTTGTCCTAATTTACATCTGTGATGCGGTCATCCACCCATACCCCTTATTCCTTTATCATATCCTGGTCCCCCTTGTCTTTCCTAACAGTCTTGCTTTATTCTGAATTCCTCTCAGGTTGTTGCCCCAATGGCAGCTAATTACCCATCAGCCACCACTGCCCCTCCAACAGCCAGCGGCCCCTTCAGCTGGGTTCCCAGACAGATGCTTAGCGGAGATGCAGCTGAGGAGGAGGGAGACAGCGATGGAGACAGCGACAGAGGAGATGACGACAGAGGGGAGGGAGACGAGGCTGAACTAGTCATTGACATCCCTAATGAGTGAGCCTGACTGTGTGTTTACATGTGTAGTACATTTGTGTGTGTGTGTGTGTGTTGTGTGTGTGTGTGCGCGAGTGAAAGACAGAACATGGCTGAATGTATTTTCTGTATTCAGTTGCCCATTTTACATTTGCAGAAGGGGAGCCAAGCTCCCCCCTGTGGACTTTTGCTAAATTGCACTCTCAAAAATATCTCCCAGATAAATGTGGTTTTCCAATATCATGTTAAGAATAAAATGTAGAGTTTGTAAGTTGTTAAGAGAAATCCACAGCCACTGGGACGTTTGCATACTTTGATTTTTACACAGTTTAAAGCTGCTGCTGATTATTTTTTGTCTAAACATTCTAGCAGTCAACAAACTGTGACTACAACTAGGTGTGTCCTGCCCAGAGAGAGTGCTTGTTTGTTAATTGTTCTGCATTGTGTAACCACCATCTCAGACTTGGTATCGTATAAATACTGTAGTCCATTAAAGCTGTTATAGTGCGATATATATGTTTCAAATGTTAAATCTTCTTTGCTTGTTACAGACTTTTACAGGTTTTTGGTCATTTGTACTTTATTGATGTTTTTATTAAAAAATCGTCAAAAATCAAAGCTACTTCATTTAAATGAAAATATATTATTTTTGCACCTATCGGGTTGTGTGTGTCAGAGAATAAAATGTAAAAAGTTATCATTAAAGGTGAGTGATTTCTGTTTATAGTTCAGTCGTGTGTCAGGTTTCAGTCACAGATAATGCTGGACACCTGCTACAGAGGTAATTATACCTAAAAATATTGATTAGGGCTGTTGTATGTTTGTCTAAAATGATTTCTTATTGCACCATTTTATTTGTTTTAAAAAAAGAGTTAAATGTGAAATAAAATATCAAACATACCTTACAACATTACTTGCTGCCACACCCAAAACATCACACCCTAAAACTCTCATACCTGAGCTACAGCCAGTCCCTGAGGTATGCTATAGTCTGTTTCAGTGCTCACTGTATGCACGACTGACAACATTCACTACACTAATACTGTGATTAAGGAAAGTTCATGTAAACTTAGTTCATGTTGGTTATTGCACATGTTTTTCTTTGCTTGCTTGACCTCTCTGCAAAGGAATCTTGATACCACTCTCACAGAAGCCCAGGGGTACATTTGGATCATGTTGGTCATAACTCTTAAGCAACATGAAGACAGCCTGGCTGGATTCCACCTCTTCTAGATGTCAAAAACAGGGCTATGTTTTTTCAGTTTACTCTTACACATTCACAGGACTAAGTTATTAGATCACATGTGAATTGCTGTTTTTGCTACATAATGATTTTGTGAAGAACAGTCAGTACCAACGTCATGTCTCAGCAAGCCTGTTAATATTATAGGAAAGCAAGCTGCAATCTGTGAGCCATGAAAGGAAGTGTTTTGTCTGGGAAGTTTAGATTTGAAGAATTGCTTCACTCTGGGTGAGACAATGACCCGTGGCTTTGACACTGTCAGGATTAAGCCTTAATGAGGATTTCATGAACTGACATGGTTAAATTTAGAGCTCAGTTGCTCACGTTTTACCTGGAGTTTCAAGTGAGAAGTTCTGCTTTCATATGAAAGTATTTCAAAGCAACTGATTGACTTGAGTCAGCACTTTTAGGAATGTGCTTTACAAAATATAATGGACAATGAGAGGACTAACCTTGTACAACGACCATTGTTTGGGAATGCGGACTTACAGGTAATTGACAGCATTTAATGGGTGTGGGCTTGGCTTGTGTACTTAACAGCAATGGGAGTTAAAGGTGTAACCATAGAGAGTATAGGAGGGAGGGGTGAAGTGGAGGTACAGCCTGGGGGAGAGTCATAAGAGGGTGGAACTGACAGAGGGGGCGAGGTTGTCAGGGAAAGGGAAATGAAGGAGTAAGCAAGACTGTGCCTGCAACACAGATTGACTCTCTCAGAATACAGCTGACATTAAAAGAAGACAGACATGGTTGGAGACAAACTGGAGGAAAGAACAAGGAGCGAGTGAGGAAAACAACAAGCCATCAGCAGCCAACCTTGGCCACCTTATCTTTTCCATCTATATACGGAAACCACTGGATAATTTATAAGCCTCTCCCTCTCGCTCAGTGTGAGTGTGTGTATGCGAGAGAGAGGGGGGATTTGCTGAGCTCACCACCACCATGCTGTGTCCTGCTGCTGTCAGTGCAGCTGCTGCGGCTGTCTGGCTGCTGGCAGTGCTGGGCCCAGGCCTGTCTCTTCCAGCTGAGGACAACTCAGAGCCAGGCTTCAACCTCTGCAGCCACTGCTTCTACAGACAGACACCTCCTCAGGGAGCCTCTGCAGGGCCACTGCTGCGCCCACTCTGCCACAGACTGCCTGGGGGACAGGCGTTTGCCACTCTGTCCAAACCGACCTGTGACACAGCTGTCTACTCTGCCTTCCATGTCAGCCATGGATGGACAGAGAGAGAGGAGGGGGGAGAGCTTGTGGTAAGGATGCAGCTATCGTGTTTGTTAAAGTAATGTTATCTATTCTTGAATGATAGAATTTGAAAGTACTATACAAAATCACAGATTGGTGTTTCAGCATGCACACAGTGATTCAGTGGTGGAATGTAACTAAGTACATTTACTCAAGTACAATTCTATGTTACTTTATACTTCTCCATTATATTTTATATGGAAATGTGCTCTTTACTCCATTATGTTTATCTGTCACATATAGTTACTAATTACTTTTCAGATTAAGATATTACAGAATAATGTGATGAGCTAATAAAATGCATCATTAAAAATTAAACCAGTGGCTCTAATCTTGTTTGGATATTGTTCTCTTACAAAACAGCAGTGCTTTGTGCTACATAACTGTACAAAGTTACCAGCTACAACAGTTATCTGCTTCTTACAGATGTTTGTGTGTATATATACAGATTATATGCAGGAAAATAGGAACAATATAGTTTTCAGTGGTCTTATTTTTCAAATATTATATAGACTCATTTAATATGACCAAAGAACTTCTGAACATTTGTAAATGATGAATTAAATAAAATGTGTTGATTCATACTTGGAAATACAAGCTCAAGTACTGGTAATGTAATAAGGTTATAACTTGTGTACGTGTGCATTAATTTTAATGCAGTCATGTTTTAATATCTGGTTTTGATGATTTTTCTGCCAGGCAGTACCAGCCCTTCTCAGAGGAAGCGGGGATCCATCTAATCCTGTTTCCCCTATTCAACACTGGGACTCAACAGTCACAACACTGGTCCAGTCGAGCATCATGCCCCAGTGCAGCTCGTTAGGGGGTGAACTCTACATCTTGACCGGGGTGGGAAGTCTCGGGGCTGCTGAGGATGGAGGCGAGGAGTGTCAAACGAAGCCACTGTGGTCTGCCATGTGCTGCGCTGTCCCCGAGGGAAAGAGTGGCTTCAGTGTGGGGTTAATCAGAGAGGCAGGGGAAGGGGGGAGGCAAGTGAGTGTGAAGGAGCTGGAGGAGATGCTAGGAGTGGCAGAGCTGTTCTCAGAAGGCTGTGGAGGAACAGATGGGGAGACTGTTGGAATCACAGCAGGTCTTCACGATGAAGGGCTTCCTGGAAATATAGAAAAGCTGGATGCAGATCTTACTGGTGAAAACACAGCAGCTAATGAGGCAGATTCAGATACCACCAGCCAAGATTCAAATGAAGACATTAAGGAAAGCAGAGGGGGAATGGTCACTGGAGAACAGGTGGCTGGTGTTGATGCTCAGCCAGAGGAAGCTGATGATGCTGACATCACACAAGAAACTTCAGCGGACGCAGCGACTTCAAAGGGTAGCAGTGAAGAGCAGCATGATGTAACACATTCAAGATCTGCCAGATCAGAGTCTCCTGAGGCCTCAGCTGAATATGAAACTGTGGATGAACAAGAGACAGACACAAATTCCACCAGTACTCTGGTCTACATCCTTTCCACCACCATGTTCATCCTTAAAGCTCCACTGTGGCCTGTGTTCTCCATAATCACACAGTTACCTGGACAGGTGATACAAGAGACTGAACCATTTAGACATTGTTATGTAAAGGTACACTCTGGCAATGAAATATTACACCCCCATAAGGCTAAAAAATGACAGTCCAAAATCGATACAGCAAAGGGTGAGATGTCCTGACTTTTAGCCGCTGTTATGGGTCAAGCTCCAAAAATACTGGATCCTTCACTTAACAACTTAAACAGTTTATAACACAAGACCAAGCTGAGATAAAATAAACTTAATAACATCATCAGGGTTATGTTGACTGTAGAAGCTCATCTAGAGCAACAGTAAATATTATTATCACTCCTCATGATGAGTAAAGTGAACTTTGTAATATTGGGGGAGTGCCCCTTTAATTTGACCAATTACAGGAAATTTACTTTATAATTAGTACGTAAGAAAATACAAAATAATGAGCAAAAATATAACTAATCACTTCCTGTTATTTCTGAGTCTTTTTTAGATAACAACATTAAAAAGAAAATATTGAGAAGTGGTCATTTTGTAGAGAAACTATTGCTATTTTAATATGCTCAGTTTCAGAGTCGTTTAATAAATCTCCTCATTCCAGTCTGGAATGAGGTGTGGCCAGTAGGAGATAATAACTCATTACATTCTCTCAGGTCATTTCATTATTCACAACTTTTTATCTCACTTGAAAACTAACATTTTTGTCTTATCTTCACTCAGGTGACATACGTTCTTCAGGAAGACCTTGGAGTACTGTCTGCCCTGCCTGGAGATACCTTCTCCCTGGTCCATCTCTTGACCTCTGACCTCTTGTCCTGGATGGGCTCAGCTGCAGAACTGCTACTGGGTATTGGGGAAACATGCTTCTTCGGCATCTACTTCTGCTCCTCCTCCATGCTGGAAGCCCTGCTGAACAGCTGCTACACTGGGGTCACTGGCATTGGGACCCTGGCTGGGGACACAGTGGGGATATTTGGTGATGCGTTGGATAATGGTTGGTGGGTGACGAAGTTCTTTGGAGGGCGGCTGTGGGAGCAGAGCGAGGGGTATGTAGGTACAGTGATGTCAGAAATGGGGGGTCAGGCGAAAGCTGTGGGTGGTGGGTTTGGGAAGCTGGTGTGGAGAAGTGGAAATGGGGTGAGTAATGTGTTTAGGCTGGGAGGAGGAATAATAATGGGTGTGGTGGATATGGTCATTGGTGCAGTGAGAGGGGCTTTTGGCCAGGAGTCAGAGTGAAAAGTGGAGGAAAAGTCCAGACTCTACATGACGCCATTAGTAGCAAACCTTTTGAAATGTTTTCTCCAGTTTTGGTTTGTAAATTTCTTAAGCACATAACAGTGTAAAAAAAGGGGGAAACTATTTCAATTTAATATGCCTTAGTTGTTATAAAAGGATTGTAATCCACACTTACACTGTAGGTCTTACACTTGACTGTGGCTGGCTGTGCAAATAATCTGCTGTATGTGAGAGCTGGTGACCCAACTGTGATTTTGAAAACACTGTGCACAAGGCTTTTGGATGTAATTATTCAAAATAATTCTTGTATGATAATTGTTATGTTTGCTTACGTGTACATTTGAATAAAAGAAAATGCTCGCTTATTGTACTTTGTATATGTTTGTGTAATATTTGTGTTTGATGTTTCCCCATCAAAAGTGTCCCTTTTTGACTTTTTTCCCTACTGTTTATCAGAGGTGGAAATCAATAACATTTACTCAAAAATGTTCTTAAGTACATTTGTGAGGTACTACTGGGTATTTCCAGTTTCTTAAACTTTTAGCTTTTTCGCCACTACTTTTTAGGGTGAAATATTGTACTTTTTACTTCATACTACATTTATCTGACAGCTGAAGTTACTAGTTACTTTACAGATTAAGATTTTACATACAAAACATATAATCATTTTAAGATATAGTAGATATTGTTACAGATAAAACTACACTTTAAACACTGTATAAAGTCCATCTCAGTGAGCCACAATATTAAAAACCCTGCTTATATGTTAATGCACTAGTAATAACCCACAATATAATTAATACTAGTATAATATAACAATCTGAAAGGAGCCATTCTGCATAATTAGTTGTTTTCATTTTGGATACATTTTGACCATGAGACTTCAGTACTTTTATTTAACTGATAATTAATCATCATACCTTTTTTTATGATTTAAATGATCTGCGTATTTCTTCCAGCACTGGATGTTGTTGTTATAATTTGAACATAATAAAACAATTTACACACTTCCGTTTTGTGCCGGAAGCGGCGGTTCAAACCCGGAACACGTTGCATCAGACGAGAGGACTCATGTGGCTCTGCTGCGGATGCTAACTTAAGCTGACGTCTCTTTCTGTTTCATTCAAAGGTATGGACAACGTCTTACATAATGTGTAGATAACAAGCCGCAGTTTTATTACATACTAACTTTGAAACCAGTTTTAAACCATGTACACGTACGGAAACACTTGTTAAACTCAGCATGCACGTATAAAAAGTCGAGTTTTAGTTTGTATGAGTAGCTAAAGCTAACCAACGCCAGCCTGTTTGCCATGACTCCTCGTTGGCCTTTGACAGGTGGCAGATATCAGCTTTGCACAAAGTGAAACAGATAGCTAACTCCGCGAACATAGCCATGGTCTCTGACACTTTGTAAATGGACGTAGGCCACTATAACATACTAAAAATGGCTTTCTTTAATACGCTTAAACCACTTTGTTTACAAAGTTGGCGTCCCTTGTTAACCTTACCACAGATGTCAATTTGAAGTGACACTAATGAACTAATATATCCGGTTAACACACCCACTCCAACATTACCTGGCAGCTACAGGATGTCTTTAATAGCATGGCAGGCATACTTGTTCTGCAACAACTACCCACTGACAGCAAAAAGAAAATATGTCACCAGCTCACAATGAAGTCAAAAAGTCAGCTTTATTGTCGATTCTTCACATTGCCACCAGAACATTACAAGGAATCGAGAGACGTTCTCATCACCCCACGGTAAATACAGATAAAGTGCACAAGGCACAAACAGATAAGAACCAGAAACTTAAACATTCAATGGTACACAACAGACAATAAAATATAAAAATATACAATAATATCAAATATACAATACTTAGGATAGTGCAAAAAGGCAGATGGAAATGGCAGCAGAAAATGGAATGGATATCATTTCTGTTTGTCTACCAGGGATGGCCACTCTCTACGTGTCCCCTCACCCTGATGACTTCAGGAGCCTTCTGGCTCTCATAGCTGCAGAGTTTTGTCCATCCTCTCGTCCAAAGACCCTCACAGAGGACCCTCCTGCGTCCCTGAATGCCCGCTCCAGACCAACCCTGGTGCTGGGCACTGGGGAAGGTGACTCCGTACTGAGCGGGGCCAGTGCTGTGTCCTGGTACCTGGCCTTACAGGGGAAGAGGGCTGGTGTAGATACAAAGCAGCAGAGCCAGGTGTGGCAGTGGCTCAGCTTTGCAGACAATGAAGTCACCCCGGTGTCCAGTGCTGTGGTCTTCCCACTGTTGGGGGTGATGGGGATGGATAAGAAGGTGAGAGGAGTGTCCAGATGCTTACTCAGACATGTGTGTGTGATGTATTCTTGTGAGGTTTTATTCTCAAATGACGTGTTGTACGTTCTCAGCTCCAGCAGAGTTCCCGTGCAGAGTTGATGCGCGTTCTGAAGGTTCTCGATCAGGCTCTTGAACCGAGAACCTTCCTGGTGGGGGAGAGCGTCACGCTGGCCGATATGGGTGTAGCTACAGCTGTTCTACTGGCCTTTAAATATGTACGTATGTTGTCTTACAGGTTTTGTCACATAGTTGACGATTGTCTCTCAGCATTTGGTAGTCTGACTATTTAAGCACTGAGAAATCAGTTTGCTGCCAGTCAACAATTATACTGTGCTTCAAAACTGCAGTCGGATTAAATTTTTGGTTTTTCCTTTAAGGTGTTGGAGCCATCAGACAGGAAGGTCTTGACCAATGTTACCAGGTGGTTCACAACTTGCATAAATCAGCCACAGTTTGTGAAGGTGTTGGGGAAGATCGCTCTTTGTGAGAAGATGGTGCCTGTTACACCGAAGACGAACGCTGCTGCCAATGGCTCTCATGCCACTCCTGCTGCTGTTGATTCTGTTGATGCCACCGCTAATGGTCAGGAAAGCCTGCGCTACAGTTTATGAGTATTTCTTTCTTTTTTTTTGGTGTAAACAGTATTCTGATTTTCTGTGTGTCTGCTCCTTCAGGCCCACCAAAGACAGAAGCCCAGCTGAAGAAGGAAGCTAAGAAGAGAGAAAAGCTGGAAAAGTTCCAGCAGAAAAAGGAAATGGAGGCAAAGAAGAAGCCAGCGGCAGAGGTACGGATACTTTACTTCTACACAGATATCCTCTTGTAAGGGATGGGTGCAGCATTGCAAAACATGAATCAACAACATAGCATTTCAAATCACTTTTGTATTGTGCTCTGCTTCTTTTTTTTTTAGAAAAAGGCCAAACCGGAAAAGAAGGAGTTGGGAGTGATCACATACAATGTCCCCACTGCCCCTGGGGATAAAAAAGGTGATTGATCAGTGTGAGTGGGAGTGTTTTCTCTCATGTAACTGAATGGATGCTTGTGACATCAATATACATGGTCAGTGTTTGGACTTCAGTGTTTGTTCAGAATAACATTATCACCCCATGGTTGAGGTCCTTATATTGCTTCAAAACTCAATTTCTGGACACATTTCAGTGTCCATAGAGCGCTCACTGTCACATTTTGCTAACCTATACTATACTATTTTCTTTGTAGCGGTCATAGCAGGTTTATTCTGGCTCTTATTGGGATTGTATTGTGAGAAATTGCAATTCAGGTCCATGTGTCAACCCTTTCTGTGTTTCTCTTCTGGTGTCAGATGTCATTAGTCCGCTTCCTGACTCCTACAGTCCTCAGTATGTGGAGGCGGCCTGGTATCAGTGGTGGGAGAAGCAGGGATTCTTCAAGCCTGAGTATGGGGTAAGAAGTCCTCCCCCTCACGCTATATTACCACAACAGAAAATGTCACTTTTATTTATTGATAATTGTAGTCAGCAATAACATCTGTCTGTCTCACTTACTCTATTCTGCAGAGGGAGAGCATTAGTGACCAGAATCCTCGTGGCATCTTCATGATGTGTATCCCTCCACCTAATGTGACTGGATCACTTCACCTGGGTCACGCCCTCACCAACGCCATTCAGGATTCTCTGACCAGATGGTAACTACAGTTGGACTGTTGAACAGCCTGAAATTCAAAATCATACTTTCATTGAGACCATTTCAATCTCACTTGTTGTGATCAGGAAGCCGTGTGTTTGAACTGGTGGGGTTTCCTCTGTCCATCCAGGCACAGGATGCGAGGAGAGACGACCTTGTGGAACCCGGGCTGTGATCACGCTGGTATTGCCACCCAGGTGGTGGTGGAGAAAAAGCTGATGAGAGAGAGGGGTATGAGCCGTCACGATCTGGGCAGAGAACACTTCATCGAGGAAGTCTGGAAATGGAAGAACGAGTGAGTGAAGGAAGTAGTAGAGAGGAGGAGATGTGAGAGATTTGAACTGGGATAAATACTGGGATAAATACTGGAATAAAGACATTTGCCTTTTTCCTTTTTAGGAAGGGAGACCGTATCTACCACCAGCTGAAGAAGCTGGGCTCCTCTCTGGATTGGGACAGAGCCTGCTTCACTATGGACCCTGTGAGTTGTCTGAATTCCTGGAACTAATTTGAAAAGAATCTGAAGAGAAATTTTTAATTCTCATGTCTATACCCGTTTCTCTTTCCAGAAACTTTCCTATGCAGTCCAAGAGGCCTTTATCCGCATGCATGACGAGGGAGTGATCTACAGAAGCAAAAGGCTGGTTAACTGGTCCTGCACACTAAATTCTGCCATCTCTGACATAGAGGCAAGTATTTTGGTGAAATGTTACAGAATGCATCTTATTGGAGCGATAAAGATTTAGGTCATTTCCAGTAAATTCACAAAAGTCACAAAAAATGTGTCAGTCAACTTGTTTTTATTATTTT